CCACCTAGAATTGGTTTTAAGTAATTCCAAGGCAGGGTCCACCTCTTATCTTTGTAAGTAAGTCCCTATTAACATAAACTCAGATACACAATAAGCACTTATTTGCTGAATAGAAGAATACATGTCAATAAATTGCTATTAATTCTCACCTTTCTTGGGGGTTTTCTTGAGAAATATATTTCGTACCTTCAAAAGAAAACATGAAGTCAATACCCAGGGCATTAGGACATGTCCCTTGGTGACTTAAGTCTCAAGATGTTACACTATCAGTACATCAGCAGAGACTTGGAAGCTGAGGACAGTTGGTTAAAAAACACCTGTAGCAGACACCTAAACACATAAAAGCCACACAAAGAACCTTAAACTTTCTAGACATTGAAGGGATTCATGTGAGAGCTCAAGTCAAAGAAGAATTTGAGCCTCAAAGACTGCAGGACTCTGAAATCACAACCAAACTCAAAAGCGCAATTAACTGATCTATAAAGGTGGGGTGGAGGAGGGTATGAAAAATTAGAAAAGCCAGAATATTTCCAGTATACATATGCCAGGACTACATCATAAACTTAAGGTTATTAAAAAAACTCTCACTCCCACTCAAGCCTCTGAAGGCTGAGAACCTGGCTTATTCCTATTTGATTTGCTAATGTCTAGCACAGTGTGTGTCACATTTAAAAACATAGGCTAAATGCAGTGGTTAAAATATCCACAAGTGAGGATTTAAAATAGGAGGACCTACAACAGCTCCCTTTGACCATGAAATATTTCAGTATTAAAAATTATGTAAGAACAATAGTCTTAACAAGTTTGACAATTTTTTTTTTTTACTGTGCTAATATCTTCCAGGGGTTTACAAACTTCTCCAAAATCATCCTAAAACTATTGTGTGTACTGTTATGGGAATAAATCTGAGTCTAAAAAGGATGTTAGCTCCTCCCCAGCACAGACAGCCCATGTAGCCCTGAGTCTACACAATATCAACTTGTTCCTCTTCCAAATACTATTATTTTTAAAATATGAACTTTAATTCTTTACTCCAAATTATTTCATAAAGGTAACTGGAGAGTGCTTTAAGCATTAAGTCATGAAAGTGACAGATTTTAGTATCTTGGAATTTTATAAATGAAATATATTAATATCTCCCAGACTATATATATATATATATATATATATATATATATATATATATATATATATTAAAAAGAGCTACTGGGAATCAAGATAGATATTGGGCATACTTTAAAAGACAAATAAACTAAATAAGTTAAGTATAAAAAGATAAAAGGAGACAGAAAACAAGGGGCAATGGGAAATTCTAAGAATCATAATCTTTATAATCACTTATTTACCTGTCTACTATATCATTTATAAGGGAAAATATGGGCAAGCTCCTATGACAAGGCCATTTTTCTCTCCTTAATGCCCTTTTCTCCCCACTCATTCTAAAATAATTCTTCCCAGGTGTAACTGCTCTGGAATTAAAATCAAAAAACTTATAAAAACCTGACAGACATATGGGAATATGAATCTGCAAAGGTTCTTGCATTTATAATACAGCTAATACAATTTCCTAGACTTTAATAGTGCCAGGCAGTATATTAAAACCAGTCTCATGAGGGTTTGGGGCTGTACAATATGTATTGATATGAGTTGGCTAGGGAATCTTGACCAAACCAGTTACTTTGTAGAGTCTGCAACCTCAACTAAAAATGAAGGAATAGAATCCCATAAATTCAGTAGTCCTTTAAACTTTCTTATTCTATGAAATCTGTGATGTTATACATATAGTATCAAAACTAAACAACATTCAAACCCAAATTCACATTTTCAAAACGAAGCATCTAATAATTAACAGCATACTGAAGTTTACACTTAAGTTAAAAACAAGTAAACTACGCATACTTAGACAGCAAAACACAGATATTTATCATTAGAAGCACTGGAAAATACACTCACATATTCACGTTTCTGGTACACCACAGGTTATTCCTCCAGTGGAGATTTTGTTTTCTCTAATTTCATCACATATTTCAATGGCAAAGAGGCTCTAATCAAGCAAAGCCCATCCTTAAAAAACTGGAATCCAGATGCAAACCAAGTATTCTTTCTCAGTTCACATCATGTCATGTTATTACATCAACACATGGAAAAAAACTGGATGTTATATTTTCCAAACTGTCAGATGATTCTAAACCAAACAAAAAAAATCCAAATCCCTAAAACCAATGGTAGTTCCTTAACTGTATCTGTGACAAGAACATTCAAGGGCAATACACAGAATCATCCATCCTACCTGCAGATTTTCTCCCTCCCAACAGTCCAATACAGGTTAGTTAATATCTGTGTAGTGAACTCCTAGCCCCTGGGACTAGACATGTCATGAAGAGAGAGAGAGAGAGAGAGAGAGAGAGAGAGAGAGAGAGAGAGAGAGAATATAACAAGAAAATGTTTCCTCTGAAATGCGCCTCCCTCCCTCTTTCTCTCTCTCTCTAGATCTAACAGGCATAACTCCAGCCCAGACATTCACTCACAATTTTTCCTCGAATAAACAGGTTCCCCCAGAACACATGATGATCCCCTACAGGCTACAAAGGCCTTTTCTACAGGAACTCAACTTTCACTTGGCAAACAAAACCATATCCCTACCATACATCCCTCACACCTAACCACCTTAGGGGGCTCCTCTGAAAGACCCAACTGGTAAAAAGATCTTTGAAACCATCACCTCCTTCAAGTGCACACCTCCTCTAAGCTGCCAGTCACCATCCAAGGGCAATCGCTGGGCGCTGAGCAGAGGTACATATTGAAGTCCAATCCAGCTTGCTGATCTCTGCAGTCACCAGTCCCAAGCTGAGCTCCCCACTCCCTCTTAGCCCTCAGAGGGGCCACAGCACCTGTCAGGCACCCTTCCCTTGCCACTTACAAAGCAAAGCTAGCCCTTTCCTTTTGAATAAAGTCCAACTAGAGAATCCTACAGGGGTGGCTTGTTTTGTTTTGACTACTGCTGTGGCTCTTATTTTTGTTAATGTTAATTACAATTTCTGCTGTGCTCAAACCTGTAGCACTCATAAAACATGCTTACACACGCGGGGGACAATTGGTGGTGCTCCCTGCTGGCTGGAGCCAGGCCTCAGAGGCTCTTTGGGGGATCGATTTTCCGGGCAAGGCGGCCTGGCTGTCCCCTAACATATCTGTTTCTATAAATACCCACTACCCACGGGAGGGGGGGGGGCTGTTTACCGGGTCAGGGAAGGGAGCTCTGGGAAGCAAGGATGAAAAAAAGAGGGAAGACAGAAGGAAAGCGGCGAGGAGGAAGTTCCAAGGAAGAGGATCTCAGGGGTGGGCGGGCTCCGGAGGGGAAGTGAGGGGCCCACGCCACAAATATTCCTTTGTGGCTGCAGCTTTGGCTCACCCAAGTTACAGAGGGCGGCGTCGAGGACAGGCCACAGGCCAGGGGCGTGGAGCAGCCCGCACTTCGCCCTCACTTGTCCCAGAGTCAGAACCCCACAAGCCCGGTGCTTCTGCCTGGGGCCCTCCCGCCGCCCACCCCCCTGGCCACCCATGGGCTGGGTCTCACCGTGTGGGCTGCGGCGGCAGCGTTGCTGGCCCGGAGAGGAGGCAGGGCGATGGGGGAGGGCGGGCCGGTCCCCACTCCGCTCCGAGGGGCCCCTGCACCGAGCCCCGGGGAAGCCTGAAGCTGGCGAACAGCGCTGTCCCCTCCTCGGCCTGGGAGCCACACGCGGGAGGAGACAAAAGAGGGTCAGGGGGGAGAGAGTCATCCAGATCCCCCACCCCAAAGGGCAGCGAAGCCTCTTTGCCAGAAGACGGAGGGAGAGAATGGGACAGCAAAAACGTGCATCAGGGGAGTGAGGGGGCGTCGGGACCGGTTCCCCAGCGCGCACCCACGGGCGGGGCTCAGGCAGCTGCAAAGTTAAGTCGGGCCCTGGCGCGCGAGTTCGCGACCCGCGGGGAAGCCGGGCTGGGCCTGAGCTTCGCGGCCCACGTTGCAGGCGGCCAGCGGCCAGGAGGGGGGGTTGGCTGGCCGAGGAGGGCGCAATGGCCTCTCCAAGCTTGGGACCAGAGGGGAGGAGGCCCGGACGGCCCCTCCAGAGCCCTCGCAGGTCGAACCCAGGCCGGGGAGGAGGGCTCCCTTCGAGGCCGCCCTGGGCCCGCGTGCAACAATGAGCGCAGGGGTGCAGAGGCGAGGGCGCACGGTCTGCCCGGAGCTCTCCCGCACCTCACCACCGACTTTGTTCGAGGTCCTGCGGGCAGCGGCTGCCCGCCCCGCCAGGGCTGATCCGGGGGCCGGGTGGGGGCCGGCTGGGGCGGCGCGGCGGGACGGCCCTCCTTACCAGTCGGGTAGGCGGCGGGAGCGGCGGCCGAAGGTTTCCTGGTTAACATGGCCGCTGGAGAGGAAAATGCATTTCAGGGCTGCCGTCTCCGCCGCCGGTCCCACTGCTACTTCTCGCGGCCGCCGCCGCCTCCTGGCCGCCCCTTACGCGGGTCTCCGACACCTCCTCGCCGCCTCGCGTCAGCTACAGCCAGACACACACAGTCCGCTGCATCCCCTCGGCCCGGGCCCGCCACCGCGAGCCCCCCGCTCTCCTCTTCGCCGCCGCCGTCCTCCTCTTCCTCGGGCGGCTGCAGCACCCCCCGGCCCGTGCACATGCCTCGCCCTCCCCTGCGCACCGCTGGCTCCCCGTTTCCCTCACATAGGGGCGCGGGGAGCGGGCTGTGCCGCGAGGACCCACTAGCTCGGGAGCCTCCTCCCGGGCTCGCGCGCGCGCGCCCCCGCGCACACTCACACACCAGCGCCCGCGCGCGCCGCGGCCCGGGAGGGCAGCCCCGCCCCCGCTGTAGGCCCCTCCCCGGACTCCCCCCGGCCCTAGCCACACACACTCACGTACCCCACCCCCACCCAGCCACCCACAGGAGTCCCAGTTCCACACCAGATCTTCTGCGTAGCTACCCCCTCTACTCCTGCAAAACTCTGCCGCCCCCGCCTGCCCTCCTCCTGCCCCTCTGGCCATCTGCCCTGTTCCCGCAGGCTTCCCCACCAACGATCTTTTCCCCTCCTTGGCCTCTCTAACCCCCGCAACGCCCCTCTTTTGCCTTACTACTCCACCTACCATTGCTTCTCTCCTATGGAAATCTCCGCAAAGACCCCTCCCCATCCAAGTGCTCCCCTAAACACAAATGCATTTTCAGCTTCTAATGGCTGCTCACAAACAATACTGTCCCCTACTCTACGGTCCCAGAGACTTAACCACCCTCCTCTCCAGTTTGTCATGTATATAACTTAGTTATGCTAGGGTCACCCTGGAGAGTCAAGCCCCCGAGGAGAAGCCGTTGCTGAGCCTGGTGACCCTGAGCGTGGGCGATGGCGATGGGCTGCCCTCCCACCTCAACCTCAGCCACACACACCCTCCCCGATTTTACTGACACCAAATGACCGCTCTCCAGTCGCTAGGACAAGGGGAGGCAGAGAGACGCTTGTGGACGGCATCTGGGGAAGCAGTTGGCTGTGGGTTGCTAGGCAAAAATAAACATCAGAGACACCTCCCATTTCCTTACAACTGGAAGCCTTTTCCCCACGCGGCCACTGGGAGAGACACACCTTCCTCTCTGCTCTCTGCTGCGAGGGAGCGACACCTCTAAATTCTCTCGTCCTCTGGTATGATTCTTTCCCTTCCAAGACACGTGAAAAATTTCTCTGCCCTTTTAATTGGCCATGTACTACTTCTCTTTCCCATGAGTACCAAAAAAATTGCTTGCCCATCTCACACCTGCGCCTTGTGCTGCGTGGCACATTGTATGCCTTTGTCCAAAGGTCACCGGTTTTGCCATTTCAACAGTTACGAACGAGAGAGGAAAGCTGGACAAATCTCAGATGACAGGGCAGAAAGTTATGCTGTGGATTTCTTTTCTGAGAGGTATCTAGTTTTTGAAGTTCTCCTGAGGATACGGGTCCATTCCACTCCACCCAGCAGCGTGCGTCTTCAAGCCCCTTGCAGGACCCAGCTTGCAGGCCCAAACTAGTGCAGACTCCAAAGAGAAGGGAGCCACCTCCTGCGGAGTTCCATCGCCTCTACTGTTTGCAAATTGTCATAGCAACCTCCCACAGAGATCACCTTCAGCTTCATACAAAGCCAAAAGTTGAGTATTTCAAGGTAATGAGATCCTCCCAGTGTCTCTGGGCTCCTCTAATAGAATTAAGAGTAGGGGGCTTGGCAGAGGGAATCAGTTGCAAAGAGTAGAATTTTGCCTAATACGTCTTTCCAAAAAATTCTCTTGGGGCTTCGTCCTAAGAGAGTAAGACCACAGCAGAACAATCACTCTAACTACAAGCTGTAGAAGCTGATCTAAATTGGTCCTGGTGAGGAATATCTCCCTATGCTTATCACTGAAGGCTATTACATTTAAATGCACTTGGGAAAACATATTTAGTGTTCAGAATTAACTGAAAGAAAAGGTTTACTAAGTAGCAGAGATGAAACTAGGACTGGTTTCCTCACCTCTGGTCTGCTATCCCTATGCTTGCTATCATACCACCTTACAATTTCAAGAAAGTTCTTTCTTCCTCCTTTCAAAATAATTATGCTTATACTGTTTTCCTCTTTTTAAAAAAATATTTTTAGTTGTAGATGGACACAGTATTTTTATTTATTTATATGTGGTGCTGAGGATCAAACCCAATGCTTCACACATGTGAGGCAGGTGCTCTACCCCTGATCTACATATAGCCCCAGCCCCTGTTTTCCTCTTTTTAAAAATGAGTATTCCATACTACTGATGTTCAAATTTAAAAAAAAAATAAAATAAATAAATTTTAATATGAACTGACATTTGTTTGCAGGTTATCTGTACAATACCTCAATGGAAGCTGAGTATACTGCTTTTTCATGAATAAGAAAAGCACTAATTACTGTCAGTCATACTTTGATTTCTAAATTAATAATATTAATTTGTATATTAAACATGTGGAAAAAAACCATGAAGTTTTATTTTTTACAAACATAAAGAATCACTAATTAAGTCTGGCATGGTGGTACACTCTTCAAGACCAGCATCAGCAACATAGCAAGACCCTGTCTCAAAATTCAAAAAATAAAATCAAAAGGACTGGAGATGTGGCTTAGTGGTAAAGTGCCCCTGTGTCCAATCCCTGGTATTAAAAAACAAAAACAAAACAAAACAAAACAAAAAAACAGAAAGAAAGAAGAATCACTAAGTAAAAAGAGACATGAAACATGTTGTTTAGGAAACTTTTCTTGGTATGTTGTTTCATGAAATTACAAGAATAATTTCAATTTTATTTATTTATTTACTGAACATAATGGCATTTATTAATGAACATAATTGGCAGCTAACCCAATTATTAACCTTTTTTTTTTTGTACTGAAGATGAAACCCACAGACTCTTTATCAGTGAACTTCATCCTCAGTCCTTTTATTTTTTTTATTTTGATACAGGACCTTGCTAAGTTTCTGAAGCTGGCCTTCAACTTGCAATCCTCCTGCCTCAGCCTCCTAGTTCTTAAGTATTTTTATTATAATAGCATACCTTTGAAAATTATATTAATTCTTGCTGACTTCTAAACTAGTATTAACCATTGCTTGGATTTCTTGACCTCAGCCTGAATTAATATCTAGTAGAAAGATATACAAATGTTCTTGGGCTTTTAGGGAAGAGTGAACTGGGTAAATTCTGGGAGTTATTTTCCTCAAACTGTATTATTGTAATCTACACTTATGATTGCATAGTATACTGTATAATATAATTGCACAGTACACTATCTCTTTACAAAGTGCTCTCAAAATTATTACCATGTTTAATCTTCATAATTGCTAAATAACCAGAAATGATTTGTCTTTAAATAGCAACCCCCTTGAGAGCTCCATTCAGTTAGTAAGTCTGCTCTTTGGTTCTTGCCTGTTGTAAATCCTGTATCTGTACTGTAATGTTTATGAAATCCAGATTCAAATAGTAAGTAGGTAGGCAGGAATTAGCAGAAGTAGAGAGAAAGAAACTAGGGAAACTCAGAATTGAGACTTGTAGAAGGAAATTGATTTTTCACTAAGGAAAGTACTGATCACAGAGAAAATTGGAAACGAACAAGAAAATTACTGGCTTCAAACCACACTCACTCATTTACTTCCCTTGTCCCCAAAACATTTACAAAGAATTTAGTATGTCTAGGCCTAGGAGATATAATGAATCATCAGATGTAGTGGGCTAGGCTTCAGTCTGGCAATCTAATACAACTTTTTATTTTATTAATTTAAGCAATAAAAAATATAAGCACCTAACTATTAATAGTGGGGTCCTATGGTCTGAATGTTTTGTGTCCTTCCCAAGCTTTATAGCCTAGTGTCCATTAATGGAAACCCCTCAGAGAGAGGAGGCATGGAGTTCAGAACCAATGGCCAGTGGTATCTACCCTTGCCTCTGGAGGGTGGGTCCATGGCCACAGCTGGCATGGAAGTCCAGAAGAGATTTCTGTCCTGCTAGAAGGTTAGTTATCTGAAGGGTCTATATTGACATCCAATCTGCCAAGGTGATGATAAGGAGTCTACATAGGTCTGAATAGAGTCAGATTAGGAATTAACTTAAATTTTATCTGGAAATGTAGAAACAAAGTACAAGGACTTTTATAGCAACTAAGTAAATTGCTAAGAAACTGGCTGTGTTAGGGGAACACAGACTCTGGTTAATGTAAGTCTAATGCTTTTTAGGAGAAAACTATTAACTAATGGTACCTTCCATTCTTCAGCACCAAGGTTCAGAATCCCTTAGAGAATATGAAGATTTCGTGGTCCCTTAATGTAAACCCCTCAGATGCAGAAGACAGGGATGTCAGAACCCAGTGGCCAATGGCATCTTGCCTCTGGAGGGTAGATCCATGGCCACTCCTGGTATGGAAGTCTAGAAGATTTCTGTACTATTAGAAAGCTGGTGATCTAAAGTGTCCAGGCAGATTGGCTGTATTTTGGTCAGCACACTTACAGAGCCAGTTTCCTTCAAACTAAGTGCAAGAGGGTGCATTTGTTTCCTATAGCAAGTTAAATATTTGGAAGTGTCAGTGATTTATTCCATCATTTCTTGGGACCAGTTCATCTGCTTTTTTTTTTTTTTTTTTTTGCTTTTTTTTTCCAGCTGCATTCCAAAGACAGGATTAGTGTTGAAAACTAGAAAGTAGGTGCTGTATTTTGGTCTTCAATGCACCCCAGAGGCCCACAAAGGACTTGGTTGCCAGCCTTGTGGCACTGGGGAATATGGCAGAAATTTTAGGAGGTGGGGCTTAGTGAAAGGAAGCTATATGATTTGGGGTATGTCCTTAGAGCAGATATTGGGCTTCCAGCCCTTTGCTGTTTGCCTTCAGGCCGCCACGAGATGAGCAGCTTTGCCCTACCAGCTGCTCCCCACCATGATCTGCTGCCTCAGCACAGACCCAAAAGCAATGGGCCAACCAAACATGGTCTGAAACCTCTGAAGCCATGAACCTAAATAAAACTTTTCTCCTCATAAGTTATTTGTCTTGGGTATTTTGTCACAGAAAGGGAAAATATATTAACACAACAGTACAGGGAACATGTCCACAGCCCAGTGAAGGTCATGTGCAGCATGCTTTCTTTTTGCTCCCCAGATCCACTCTCTACTCTTTCATCCCACTCTGTGCCACAGGAGGCTTTACAGACAGAAGCAGGGGATTTTCTTACCCACTGGCCTTTGCTGAATTTGGCCAATGGAAGGTACTAGCAAGAGATCAAAGGAGTCAAGGGCAATGATTGGGGGCTTTTATCTCCCCGGCTGTGTGTCCCAGCCCCTGATTTTTATGCTGGCTATGTGTCTAACCCTAACCCCATACAACTTGGGGCTGTGAGTCATCCTTACATCTTCAGGCCCTCTTCCTCCAGCTCTAGGCTTCTGTGGGACAAGAACAGGACATAAATTTTATTCTCTCTTAAGATATAGATCTGTTACAAGGAAAGTTCAGAAAAGTCCAAATTAGTATAGCCCTGCTAAACTATGTCTGGTCTAAGGGATTTCTAGACTTGGGCTAGATGGAACAGGTATAGCAGGAATCAAGGCTAAGGAATCCTCCCAAAGAGTAATAGTGTCTTCACTAACACCTTTACCTGCCTGAGACCTCTCAAAATAATTACTGACATATATGTATGGTGCTTATTGCATCAGGTAAAGTTCTAGAGACTCTACTCATGTAAACACATATAATTCTCTGTCTTGTACAGTAGGTACTATTAGTCCTATCTTAGAGACAAGGAAATTGAAGCACAGACAGGTTAACCAACTTACCCAAGGTCATTACACAAATAAATGTCAATGCAAATGGTCTAGCTTTAGAATCTGTGCAGTTGCTGTTTGGGGCACTAAGTAGAGATTTGACCAGGCAGATCAGTACCATAATCCTCTCAATGTCATTATCACCACTAATAACTTTTCACATCACAAAATGAACTCTTTGGTAAAGCCCCCTCATGTTCCTGCAGTCAACCTCAGCAGTCTATGACCCAGGGCAAGCTTACTTTGTAAATAAGAACTGTGAGATGAAAAGAGCTAAGTGACCTGCCATAGATAGGAGTGGATTTAGAATTCAGATTTGTTGACTGCCAACAAAATTTTCTTTTTTTTTTCTCTCCCAAATTAGATTATTACAAAATTTACTTTAGGTACTTATAAAAACATATACCATAGGATGATCAAGTTTTGATATTGTGGGATTTGGGGAGAAAATTCTTGTGGCCACAGGAATGATTATAGTCTGGTCTTTAAGAATAAACTTGGCCAGATTCACAAAAAAAAAAATTAAATACAATTTTATTGTTTTCTCTTTGTTTTATTATAGCTAATCTGCCCCCTTTGCCTCAGGGGAATGGAAAAATAACAACAACAACAAAAAGAAGTATCCATGGCAGTTGAAGTGGGGGTTCTTCTAAACATGACCACCTCCTACGGTAATTCATATTTCCCTAGGACCTGAGAGAATTGCTTTTAATTAAATCAGACGTTTAGCCATATCTATACTCTTATTCAAGTTAAAGACCAGGTTGACCATATATTGGTTCATTGAGGTTGGGTAATTGTTGTTTCATAGTCCTGGACTATTTTTAGAAAGTATCTTTGACTGATGAAAAGCCTCTTTAAATATTATTATAGACAATACATTGTGCTTGTTAGTATCTCTCATAAGATGGTACTGGATAGATTCATTGTTCACACAGCAGTATTCTCCAACAAAGGTTCTGAAATACAAAAACTCTAGAGCAAACACTTGTGCTTAGCACATGTGCAGATGAATGGCCCTTGATCAGCCTCTTCAACTGGCACAGATAATAAAAATTAGCCAGGACATAATGAACTACTGATCGGCAGAAAATAACGGATATGAAGAAGAGATTAAGAGGGAGTTTGTTAAGTGATCATTCCTTTTTAGAGAAAAGGGAAAAAAACAATTTTATTATAACCTGGAAGGAACAATGGAGAGAATAATGCTCTAATAGAATAGGAATGGATAAATAAATCATGGTGTGCTAGACAGAATGAAGAGCAAGAAAATTGGTGTGGAGAGAGAACAAGAATAAGAGAGAAGAAAATGAGAGAAATTTTAAAAATTTTTATAAGAGGAACATGATGAAATGTGAGGTAAGGCCATGAATGAGATAAAGGTGAAAACAAAACTTAGAAAGAAATATCACTGGAATGCTGCAGACAAGCTATTTTCTTATAATGGACATCTTTATACCTGACACTTACATTATCTAGGGGCTCCTTAACCAGAACAGATTGCATTATGCTATAGGGAATGGAGGTTGGTCAGGTCATTGTCTTCTACTCTCTGGCCACACATTTTCATCTGATCTTGCAGGGGCACTTACAGCTTCTCTGGTGATACTTTTGTACCTCCCCCAAGGCTGAGAAGTGGAAAAGAGAAGGTGTCCCTTCAATACAGAGCTGCATCAGCATGGCTGATCCAAGCAGAAACCAAGGGCTCTTCCTCTTTTAGTGAAGGCCTGTTCCTGTGGTGCTGTTTCCCAACTTGGTCCTTATTTTGCTTTCCCTTATGTGCCTATCTCTTGAACAGAATTACTTCCTCTAATGATGCAGCTATCAAGATAGCAGCTGGGAAAACGTGAAAACCCAAAGAATTTATGCAAAGAAATACTATGTCAGGCATGTGAACTGAACTAGAATTGCATATTCCTGCTGAGACTCACTCAAGCGCCATCATATTTGCAAACGGGCACGTGGACGAATAAGCTAACCTGGTAGAGAAAGATGATCCAAGGCCAAGACATTATTGCATATTTCAGATATTTGAAATAAACAAAAAATCTTCATGCCGTTGTCTTGGAGTTTTTCTTACTTGAGAAATGAAAAATCAACACAATTTTTTTGATGAAAGCAGCCTTTATGTAAAGTTGTTGTAAGTTGAGAACACAGATCCCATTAGATGACTCAACAGCTATAATCCAGTTATTTCACAAGAAGAAAATAATACAATGGTCCTCAAAAAAGAAATGGAAAAGAGAAAGACTCCATTTTTTTTTAATTCATAAAAGGACTTTTCCATGGAGTAACTGGCACTGAAAGGTGTCTAAAGGAATTGTTATGAAGAGTAAGTCAGGGGGAAACACTAATTTTCTGAAATCCTGCAAGGTCTTACAAAGTGCCCGAGAAATCACTGAAAGCATATATGGCTAGCCAGCTCTGCAGCAGAGCCCACCACAGCTCAAGATCAAATTTTCAAGAGCAGCTTATGACTTCCTACTCTATGTCAATCAATCTCCTCAAAGTTGACGTAATGCCTACTGAATTGAAGGGTTGACAACTGTACCTGGTCATCAATTTGCCTTTGAATCAAGTTTTTCTTATCTCTCTTCCTCTTCCATATATTCCAGTCATCATTTCCATCATTAAAAATTTTCCTGATAAGATTTGGCATTATCTATAAAGCAGGAGTGGGGAACTGTGAACTAAAATTGTCCTTCATCTCTCTAAACCCCAAGTTGATTTTTATTTCCATCTCAAGTAATAGAAGACTTTTTAAATTCCCTAAAGAAACTGATGAAATTTTGGTTTGTCCCTGAGGGGACCATATATAAACAAGAACCATACTCACCTTTTAAAACTGATCTTGAGAAAATGACGTGGAAATGTTTTCCTACATTTAAAATATTATGATGATGACTTTCAAGTGGTAATGTCAACAATCTAGAACACAGCAGAAGACAAGAAAGGAATGTTTTATTCTACATATACACAATCGGTGTTGCAAAAACCATGCAGCATATAATCCAGACATTTTATTAATAGAAGAATTATTCAAACTTTTGTTCAAAAACAATCCACAACATGGTACAAGGGTCAGATGGCCTAATACCAATCGAAGCTCTGCTGTGTACTCATTGTATGACCACTGGAAAATGTCTCAACCTCTCTATGTCACAGTTTTCTAATCCATAAAGTACTATCTCCATTAGGGTTCCTATAAGGATTAAATAAGATGATCTACTTTAAATGCATAGAACAGAACCTAGCACATAGAAAGTATATACTACATACAAGTAAATACTATTTTATATACTTTTCTAGTAAACCTAGAAGTCTGATTCTCAGGCAATTGTCTATTAGATTTAGCAAATCAGGAGAGGTGGGAGGGTACCAGTAAAAGGTCCATTGTTAATTCACACTACATGAAGAGACAGAGAAATTTTCAAAAGCACGCAAGAATCCAAAAGGCATAGCAGCTTCAAGCCATAGAGCATCACAGCCAGCAATTTTTAGGTGATTCACCCCCACCTTTCTTTTCTTTTTCCTCTCTAGCAACTACACATGAGAGAAAACATACAACCCCTGACCTTCTGAGTTTGATTTATTTCACTTAATATGGAGGTCTCTACTTTCATCCATTTTCCTATAAATGCCAAAATTTCATTTTTCTTTATGGCTGAATAAAATTTCATTGTGTATATATACCTTAATTTCTTTATTCATTCATCTGTTCATGGATACCTAGGTTGGTTCCGTAGTTTGGCTATTGTGAATTGTGCTACCATAGACATGGGTATCCATGTATACCTGTAATAAGATTAATTCTTCAGGATGAATACTGAGGAGTAGAATAGCTAGGTCATATGGTGGTTCCATGCCTAGTCTTTTGAGGAAACTCCATAATGATTTCCATAGTGGTTGGACTGATTTATAGCCCCACCAACAGAGTAAAAGTGTTCCTTTTTTTCCTACATCCTCTCCAGTTTTTAGTATTATTCTTGATGACTGCCATTCTGAGTGGCATGAGAAGAAATCTCAGTGTAGTTCTGATTTGCATTTCCCTAATTGCTAATGATGTTGAACACTTTTTTTTTTCATGTATTTCTTGGCCATTTGTTTTTCTTCTTTACTCTCAATTATTTTAGAAGAGAGAAATGGAGACCCCACCTACTTCAAATCTATGGGTATATGTGGAAATGAAACCACACTGAGCAAGAAACTCTCAGGAAGTTCTCTGGAAGATATATCTCTTCCTAGATCCTTCTCCTATCACAGTGCCTGAACTAGGGTACAGCAGCCTGCTTAGCGTATCAACATGAGTTGAGTATCATTATTCTGCTACATTGATCCAATACTTCCCATACTCTTGCTTATCAATGAAAATTTCCAGATAGAATGATAGAGAAAATTAGTTACTAGGAAAAACTATGAAAAATAGAGTCATGTTGAAAATTTCTCCATGTGTTTATTTCAGACAGAGCCAGTCTTTTTCCATTAGTCTGTGTAATTTCCAAGGTCAAAAGTCTTTTCCAAAAAGATTCTAGGAGAGTCTTACAAAATACTAACCTATTTGGAAGCAGCAGAGCATGACTCTATTTTATTCCACATCATATTCAATTTAATGCTGACAACTTAATTTGAGAAGATTTATGCAAAAAATAATAACCATTGATAACTACCATTTTTTAAATTCTGAAAAAGGGACTTGTTTTTTCCTATTATTATTTTGCTTTTGCACTTTTGTCTTTGAATATTAAGACTTGTATATATTGAAACAGAAATTTCAGGTCATATACCAAAAAGAATGGCTTCCCCTGTATAGGAGAAGTAATTGTCATAACTATGTAGGAACTTAATGGTTCAGTTAGTTAATAATTAAAATTGTGTGCAAATGGAAAAGTTAGAAGTTATAGACCCAAAGCAAGCTTATAAATAAGTTTTCTTTGCCTTATAGAAGGCTTTTGAAAATGTGAACTCAATGCCAACATTTTGAAAGTGAGACTTAATATAAATATCAATTTTGGCTTTTCTGGAAATAAGGCAAAAACCTAGCTGTGCTGTCCTCTCTCTCAGTCTTGCAAGGCAGTGAAGGACCCTCCCCTCCCTTCCACCTTCTTGCACCTCTCAAACTCCACCTCAACTCTGCACCCTACAGATCACCGCAGTCCTTACCACTTCCTGTTATTGTGTGTGTCTTAGGCTAACTTTACCTATCGACAGTACCTGCCTTTCTCCACCAGGCACTTTGGTAAAAACCTACAATGAATTTTGTATTTCCTGAAATTCCCTTGTCACCTACTTTATGGTTTTAAGTTTATCCTTGCTCTTCTTCCTTTTCATCACTTATATTCCATTTCTTGATACTACTGTCACAATGAACAGAGGTCAATTGTGATTTGGGTATTCATACTGAGACCTTTCCAACTAGTTTTGTGCATAGATACATATCTGGCACAAGAAACATTGTTTTCCTCTTGTACTTGAAAATCAAATCAGTTTCTACTTAGTACCAAAATGTTCATACATTAAGACCACTGCCTATACAAAAGCTAATACAGTGATATATGCACTGTTCTGCCCTTTGGTGACCTAATACAAAGTTACTGTAGATAGTTAGCTCTATTTTGGGACTCTTTATACATTATAAGCACATAAGTGATATTCTTACAGTTATTAATTTTATTTTATTTTATTTTTTCTGAAAGTAGTTAAGGTCCTCAACTTCATGTAGAATTTCATAAGCATGGTTTGGATCAAGCAGTGATTCACATGTGTCTCAGTGCTACAGAAGCACTCAGCTGAAAGGAATACATTCAGCAAACAGATGAATCTTAAACTGCTTATTCAGTGTCACAACTTAGATGTCTAATAAATATCCTGAATGCAATGTAGCTAATACTGAATGCATGAGTTCTATCTTTCCTTTCCTGTTCTTCCCAGTGTGTTTCGTGTTTCAGCACATAGCATCTCCAGCCTTCCAATCACTCAGGCCAAACACCTTTGAGACATTCTTGACTCCTCTCTTACTCTTATACCTCACATCCCATTCATCTGCAAATATTGTTAATTTTGCACTCAAAAATATCCATAGTCACCTATTTCTCACTGCTGTCACTAATATACCACAGTCAAAGGCACACTCTTCTGAATTACAGAAATAGACGCCTATTTGGTCTCCATTGCCTCCTTTAAACTTGACACAAAATCATACAGATCTCTTTCAAACACAAGATTATGTCGCCCTCATTTCAAAATTTTCCATTAGTTTCCCATCAGCCAAGTAAAAGCTGAAGTGCCTGGAATAGCCGGAATCTCCTGTATGATTTCCCTGCTGCCCCTGTCCTTCTCTAATGCTGTCTGGTTCCACCCTCCCTTGCTCACCCTTTCACTCATCCTGGTCTTGCTGCTGTACCTCAAACACTCTAGACATGCCCTCACATGCACTCATCTCATTCCCTGCAATGCTCTTCCCCTGGAAAGCCTCACCTCCTTCAGGTCCCCTTTTAGGTGAGTTCAACCCTGACACTCTATTTATAATTTTGAAGCCTATTTGTATTTTTATATACTTACTGCTGTCTGCAATATATCTTTACTCACCTGTTTTCTCTTTATCTCCCTCCAGTAGAATATATGCTTTCTGAAAACAGGGACTTTTGTCACTCTTTGTTCTGCTGCTGTTGTTTTATACCAAGAACAGTGACTGGGACTTGGGAGTCCCACAATAAATATTTGATGAATGAATTAGGTAGAAATGCCATCAATTTAAACTCTATTTTCAGAATTAAACTCTATAAAGGAGAAGGCATGATTCCAATCTGGAGCATCTTTATATGATCTTCAAAAGAACAGGAAACAAAATAAAAACATTTATTTCTTACATTCTTTGGACAGGACCCACGAGTCCTGATTTATCAAAACTAAGCCTGTGGGCTGAATTCCAAAGGTGTGGAACCCCTATACATGAGGTTATATAAGGAAGTTCTCTATGTTGAGATATGCCATAAAGGGGCAGAGAGTTCTGTTATGATCTTTGGGTGACTCTGCTCACTTTTGTCAGAGGCATCCAGGA